GGTATAATGTACACTACCTGTCCCATCCTATATCTTCTATCTGTTGTATAAGATGAGTGTATAATCTTGGCATCTCTCCTGTAGTGACCATGCTTTCAGACTCCAGCATTTTCTCCTGAAAATGAAAAGACAGGTCCCTCTTTTTTTAAAATCAAGTATACCGCTGAAAACAGGAACTAACTCGTACATTATGTTAATTTAAGCCAGTTAACATTCCCTGTCAATCACAGACCATAATGTAATGAGTAGTGTTCCTGGGTTGGACATGTCCGAGATATGGTTCCATATGGGTGGACGGAGCGCAAAATACTAGTCCCCAATTTCTGACTAAAATTCTCAAGAAACAAGTTTCAGTCTGCCTGAACACTGCCTAATCCTCAGCTCATCTATATTCAACATGTATTCATAGAGGGCAGTGTTTTAAAATTGCAGTAGAAATTATGACAGGTGTTCAAATGCTAATTGTCAGAAGTTCTTGCCATAACTATTTATAGCTTCCACAGTAAAAAAAAGAAAATGATCACCAGTCGGACCATTAACAAAAAAATAATGTGCCCCTGTAACATACTTTCCCGATCATAAGCCCAGGGGCCTCAACACCTAAAATCGGGGGAAGTAAAGGGTGGGCTTATACCCAATGATTACCTCAGGTAAGATGATTTTTGTTGTTGGTTTAACATTGTAACCATCTTACCACTCATGAAAAAAATATCTAAATTACATCTTTCATTTGCCATGTAGAAAACAAATTGCAAAATTAGTAGTCATTGATTCCCGCAACACTTTTACAATGAAGAAACAAAAATGTTCATAAAAATACACACATTTTATAGCAATACGATTTTGGAAGGGTCTGTGAGAAAAACGAGAAGGCAAGATCTTTATCAATATCTTCGCTGTGGGATGTAAACTCTCGATGCAAAATTATTTGACCTGAAACAACATCCATTGACCTAACAGGTCAAGTCTTTCATTAACCAATATGCTGTGTCCTATTGACAAAATTTTTAGATTAACCACGATGTAAATTGTTTAAAGCAATCCGAAACTGAATTAACAAATGTTAAAAATGTGATCTTTTAGCACCAATTTTGACCAAAAAAAAAGTAATTTTTTCCCTAAAAACTGGTGATTCGCAATTTTTCAAAGGTAAAATGAATGTGGAGGTAGTATTTAACATCTTTCACGGTAAATAACATGTCACATACAAAAATAGTTTGCTCGTTCACACCCCATTCATGATTGTCTCAATGGACATGATTATTCAGAAAAGTAAAACTATGTTCAATGACCAGGTTTCACGACTTGACGGACACATTTTTGGCATTTCAAAAGCTACCATTCAAAGAGATATGATTATTTCTGAGCTGAGCAAATAACAGTATAGAAAGGGTGCAAACTTTGTTGCATACGTTCGTCATGCACTTTGAAATCATTACGAATTTTCCCATAAAAGCATGAACCGAACTACTCTACCAATCATGATTTTTATTCAATGAAATACACTTTTTACATGCATATTTTAATACATGTCGTCATGTTTTTTTCATTACCAAGTTTGAAAAATTGGCAAAAAACATTGAGGACATTTTTGTGTTTTTTTCTTATTTTTTGGAACCAAAATGTTATCAATCCAAAACAAACTGATGCTTTAATGGCTTTTCAGCAACTTGGAACATATCATTTTGCTTTTGAACACGACTCCAGTCAGAATATTAATACAAACAAATCTGCACGAGATTGAGAAAGATAGACTCACAATGGTAATTTTCAATTCAACTAAAAATGTCTGTAAATCTGGACTCTGTTGAATTCTTTGACACACCACATCCTTGCATCCATGCAGAAGTTGCTGCAATTTCCAACCACATAATACTCTAAACCAGACAAAAATAGACAGCATGGTTATAAGCAGAGGAGAAACATGCGATTTAGTGATTACAATGTAGGTAGAAATTAAAAACAAAACAAAAGCAACTTCAAGTCATATGATACATATTCTGGGGGTACCCTATATAAATGTTCATTGTATGTACTAAGATAGACAATAGCTGTCCATGTACAACCAAGATCTGGTCTAGAATGGCAGAAATGCTTGAATTTGATGAATATTAACATTAAATTGGCTGCCATTCAGCCATCTTAGATCAGAACATGAAATGAATGGACATGCATTTGTATACCAAGATGTAAGATAGATGTGTGAAGTTTGATCGGCCAGACATGTCCAAGATAGAGCTGTACACACACTCATGCAAACTGAAGTCAATCTATAAGTCCTCGTTTTTGAACTGTGTTCGAACGGGAACAAGTAAGTAAGTGTTATCTCTAAATGAAATTGTATATGGTTAACAATAAGTGCCCTTGCATATTTGCTATTAGTCAGAACAAATTCAATTGACTACAGTAAATGAGATGGACAATATGCGACTTCCATACTTTTGCTATATATTGTGATTTCTGGGATGTCAATGACGTTTTTACCACATATGTCACATTGTAAGGTTTTGAATATTTATTTATTTATTCAAGTGACAGTATGCAACATATATTACAGAATACTGTAACAATATGGTAACATACACAATGTGCATTCAGTAAAATGACATGGCCTTATTTATAGTACTATAAGTCAACAAAAAGAATGTTTCCCACAAAAGTATTTAGACAAATGCACATACTGGGTGTTTGCATTAAATTTAGATTGAATAGCATGACATGAATAATTCCAAATTCTTGAATTGATAGTGTTTGTGAGTTTATCATTTATCATTTACACAAGGTCAAAAAAAGTGGACAGATTTTGAGCAGTGCACTGCTTGTTCGTGTTTCTATATTGTGGTGTGCACAATCCCTTCAAATAAAAGTGCCATCATCTTTCAACTAACACGTACACCATTCTGCCCAAGCAACAAAAACTAGCATGGCTATAGAGTAATATTTTCATATTTTGGATGTACTATTTTGGGAGTTGAAAACCTACCGGTATATTACAGTCATCTTTACTCCCCTTTTCACTTCATTTTATCTGCTAAAATCAATTTCTCAGCTGTCTTGTATAGTTTTAGCTATGCTTTTTATATGCTTTTTGTACCCACCACACTCACTCTATTTTAAAAACTGTTTCAAAAATGCCACTACTTCTTCCGGTGTCTTTTGTTTTTTTATAGTTATGTCATACCCTCACCTGTAGATAGGGGTTAGGTATGCGCAAAAAGAATTACATCGCTTCTGACTATAATTCAGAATTCAGGAATTGAACCAAATCATCTTACCTTGCATTTTTGAGTTGTTTATTTGGAGGTAGTTCAACTTTGAGGTGAAAATCTCTTCCCTGCAAAAAAAACCATATAAAAAAACAATCAAAGCTTAGAAATAAGTATGATTGAATGTAGACTGAAATAACTATGGTCATACAAGACCAAAATAATCTGCCAATTACGAATTGCAATACAACAGATCCCAAGAATGACAAAAACATGGATATTGTAAGTTTTTCTAAAATTAATCAAATCCTGATAATAATAATAATTCTACAAATGTATATTCAAACAAATGTCTGTATAATAAAAACTGTAAATGTTCTGTAGACTCAATAGAGAAGGAACACAATTTACAGTACACATCCAAAGAACAGAAAATCATGGCCCTCACAAAATATGTGATAAGTATTATCAATTTTTCAAATCATATTTATGAAATTTTAACAATTCAGTAAAAACTATAGACTTTCGGTTTTTATGCAATAAACATAATTATATAGACATTTGGAAAGTTTGTCATTTGTCACCTAAATATTTGTTAATATTTTTTTCAAAATGTATTGACAAATATTTCAAGAGTCCATAGAAATACAGTATGCCAATCTGGATTTTAGGAAAATTGTTTAAAAATGTTAATTATATCTTAATATGTCACTCCTTAACTGAATATTTTTTACTATAATTGATGTTTGATACTCCAAACAGTAGACAAAATCAGATTATCATTTATCATAAACTAAATATGTTGCGTGACATTCAGTTTAAATAGTGTTTACTTATTGTAGGTTATAAACCATAAGCCGATTATTGTTCTATTAATTAAAACGAAACAGTATTTTATTATAATAGCTGTGTGGATGGGATTTCAGATCATTATTCATTATTTTTATTTGGGAACTATTTACTTGTGCCGGGAGCACTCCGCGGAGAAGACAAGAAGGCACGATTGGCGACACAATGTGTGAGAGTCATAGCCGAAAACTAGATGACAAATCAAGTCCGGGAGTCCACATATGTAGTACACCTGAAGTAATAGCGTTTTCAAGCTCACTTGGAAGAAGTTTCATCCTGTTTAAGAGATAACTAAAAGGAATCGTCATACATCCTGAAGTCAGTAACTGTGAATACAACTCTCCGTAGGTGAATGTCCCATGATGCATCGCGAGGAGAGCTAAACATGGCCGCCTCCATGCTACGCTAGCATGTTGTGCGATTGATTGAACTTGTCACGTAAATCATTAAGCTGACGTCCTGTTCTTCGTTAATCAGGGATCACAAGCAACCTATTCTCGCCTAACAACTGACTGCTGTTTCTGATGCCTGTCAGTGAGTATGATTAATGAAAGCCTTTGCGAATATCCATGAACGTGGAGCTACGCTAATTCATAGCAACCGAATCAAACCAAACCAACATATAGATACATGTTAGTAACATTGGCCTATCAACTCTGAATTCAGACGAGTCGTGAACACCGTTAGTCTGTGCCGTGAGCTACAATATCCAGTCGTGTGTCGTAACTGATCTATGACACGTGTGTGTTTCTTTCGTACTACTACTACGTTGTTTAGAACACCAAAGTGAAGCGTCGGTGAGCCTTCTATAACCAAAACACTGATTGAACTCTCTCTGTAATATCCCACCATGCAATTGTAATGAGTTATTACATTTATTTGTGTGATTTTTGTTTTGGATCTCTTGTATAATATTCAAGCTGATCAATACTGTGACCTTGTCATTGAGTGATTATTGTATTGTTATCACTTTATAAGTTTAGCTAATATCTTTGTAGTGTGTTACCATGGCTGTAGGCCTGGGCAATTAATAAGGTGTAGCATTTATTGTAATTATATCACACTGCTAAGTGCTGATCATTTGAACCGGTTTGTGTAAATTACATAGGGTTTTGCTCCTTCTCATATTTTGACGTATTATCATTTGTTGGTACTCGCAAAGTACGGGTCAACTCAATTTGTACTGATTTTATTCATGCTCCCTTTGTCGAACGTGTGAGCAACCCTTACATGTATGTAGTTTGAAATCTTGCATGGTCTAACATTGCTATTCCTTAGCATTGACTATATCCAATTGTTAGTGCGCCCTCTATTATAATTGAGGAATTATTGTTATTCTCTGCCAGTGTATACTTGGGCATTGCATTCGTTATTGTGTAAAAGATAATACATTTGTTGAAGCGATAGATATCACTCTGCATCTTAATTTGTTGTATGTTGTGAGACCGACGGGACATCTGGCAGACGTACCCCTGGTAAATTGTACTCGTGCTAGTCTATTTTGAGAGGGACTTATATTGTCGTTTCATTCTGACCTCTCTGTAAAATGGTAACATATGCACCAAAACATCCAATGCACATGCATATACGAGAATTTCATTGTTTCATCAAACAAATACACATATGTGTGCTACAAGAACTGTGATTCAGTTCATCATAATCACAGTCTAATATATCCACCGGTATATAGAATATCAAATAAAACACTGAAAAATACATGTCCTCATCCACATTGCATCTTTAGTTTTCAGTAAAAAGAATACAATATAAGGTGCATGTAAAAAAATCATGTGATAGAGAAGACATAAACTTACAGACACCGTTATGAATCCTTCATATTGAGTTTTACATTTATCTTGTGGAATCAAGTGTGGACAAATAGACATTATACTTCTTGGAGTTACCATGATGATATAGTTTGGTGGTCAACTGACAAAATTTTCATTCTAGTACAAAAAGAACAATAGTATAATTACGTGAAATGTTTCACACTTCAGAATATTGTAGCAGAGCATGAAAATATTTTTGATTCTGATAAAATCCATGATAATGAGAAACATTGTTGATACCACTTGCTCAGAACATAAAATCTTAATTTGTTTTTATCTATTTTTTTGTTTTGCTTCAAAATTTTTATTCTGTGAATCTTTTTGCCTCCATCAAAAGATAATACTTGATATAGAAATATTGCTGGGTATAATATTAAATGTATTAAGTGAAATCTAACTCTTTTACACAGCTTAAGTTACCTTCCCACTGCAAGCATGTATAACAAGCAGAACACCTTCCACTGATTATTGTGACAATGATGATAAATGATTTGAAGTACCTTGTAGATATTTACTACCTTATACTAAAATATGTTTGGATATTTAGATATTCACCCAAAGAGTTCATAATATGTATAAACAAGCAGCCTGTCGGCTGAGATAGCTCCGCTGTTAGCAATGCACATTTCAATTAAAGAACTGAAGATATCATTAGAAAATGAACAATATGTATAGTATCAAAGCAAAGGACCTTGCTGTTTTCAACAAGAATTCAAAAATATCACTTTTCACCAAAAATGACAAAAATAATCATCAAAATTAAGTAATTGAAGATATCACCACGAAATTAACAAGGTCCACATGTAATACCTATATATGTAATATAAAAGCAATCAGACTTGCGGTTTTTAACAAGAAGTCGAAAATCTCACTTTTTACCAAAAATGACAAAAATATTCACCAAAATTAAAGATATCATTACAAAATGAACAAATCTGAGAGAGGTCCACATGTAGTACCTATGTATGTAATATAAAAGCATTTGGACTTGCGGTTTTCAACAAGAAGTTGAAAATATCACTTTTTACCAAAAATGACAAAAATATTCACCAAAATTAGAGAATTAAAGATATCATTACAAAATGAACAAATCTGAGACAGGTCCACTTGTAGTACCTATGTATGTAATATCAAAGCAATTGGACTTGCGGTTTTTAACAAGAAGTTGAAAATATCACTTTTTACCAAAAATACCAAAAATATTTACCAAAATTAGAGAATTGAAGATATCATTACAAAATGAACAAATCTGAGAGAGGTCCACATGTAGTACCTATATATGTAATATCAAAGCAATTGAACTTGCGGTTTTTAACAAGAAGTCGAAAATATCACTTTTTACCAAAAATATTCACCAAAACTAGAGAACTAAAGATATCATTACAAAATGAACAAATCTGAGAGAGTTCCACATGTAGTACCTATATATGTAATATCAAAGCAATTGGACTTGCGGTTTTTAACAAGAAGTCGAAAATATCACTTTTTACTAAAAATGACAAATATATTCACCAAAATTAGAGAATTAAAGATATCATTACAAAATGAACAAATCTAAGAGAGGTCTACCCAAGGTACATATACACCAAGTATCAAAGCATTCAGGCTTGTAGTTTTCAAGAAGAAGTCAAAAAAGTAAAACATTGACACGAACGACGGACGCCAGACGACGCCGACGGACAATAACTCATATGATATGCTCCGCTCGACAAAGTCGACAGCGGAGCTAACAAAGTTGTTTTACAGATCTCAACAAATACTGAGATTTTAAGATCGATTTTTGATGTGAAAAATATTTGCTTTTAATTGAAGATAATTCTGCACTATGCCAGCTTAGAACATCATCCCACAACTTTCGGGTTGAATCTGATCGTAAATTAAACATACAGAGGATTATGAGAATTGGTAAATTATGTAATTTAGGGTTGGTTGAGGATGTTTTCCATGTTATGAAAATCTTGGAAAAAAATATTCACCTATATTCTATCAGTCAAATCAGACATATAACGCAGTTTGACAACTTATCTATAAGTTCAAATTTCAAAATTTGTATTCTTAGGTTCTAAACAGAGAAAATCCAGTTAACCAGTTGTGACTTGTAGGTTCAATGATTAATTAAAGGACTCCCTCTGTATTTTTGATTTATTGTACCATAGGCCTGAGGTCATTGTACTGAATAAATTCATATCAAATCCCCACTTCCAGTCCAGTTAGACTTAAAATACACCATGAATATTCACTTTTGAGATATAATTTTTAGTATGTGTTGGTTCTTGAATATTTCAGCTTCGTCGTTCTGTACTTCGTTCAGTAATTTAGAATCCCAAATTGCATAAAAATAGTTTTGCAATTTTGACATGGAAAATGCCTAGGGTAAATTATTTGCTGAGGGACGGCCGCTTAGGTATGTGCACTTGCAGCACATGAACCTAAAAGCGTTAGGTAATCAAACAAGAAAATGATGTTTACATAAAGTACGTTCAAGGTCTTCACTTTTTCATAGCATAAAAATGATTTACACCCTCGCTTATTGTGACACCCTAAAATCGAATCATTTCCATTTCCCTCAAAAGTCAACAATGGTTTAGTGCCCTATTTTACGCTACGTCTCAAAACACTTTTTTATGCTTCACATGTTTATTTGCCTTCAATTACGTTTTGGTGGTTGTCACTGTCATTCGTGGAATCTTGTCGATAACACTTTGGTTCCAATTCACGTAGCTAAGGAAATTCAAAAAAATGAATTGCAAATTTTTACCTTTGTTGCCATGTTCACGATTCACTTCCCAGATCTTTGTTTCCCGAGCACCTCGAATAATAATAAATCTAATAAAATAATCTAACCGCTGGGCTAAATTAATGACATAACCAAAAATTCATATCAGATTGGGGGAAAATCGTTCGTTTTTGGAACCGCAAGGGCGATAAGACTAGACTTTCAAAGATACAGGTCATTTCAAACCAACAGTTTCTTTTGTTTTGAGTTTGTTGTTAGCCAGGAACATAACCCACCATTTTGGTTAATATAGAACATGTTCTATTCATGGATTTTGATGTGCCAGCCCATAGACATGTATTTTTAAGGTCTATGGCCAATCGAGCAATTTTAACAATTTCTTAATGTAACATATCTTATATGAATATTTATACTACAATTTTATGTTTCTGAACAATCCGATATTTATGCTGGAGCATACAGTACAATGAACAGTCCTGGATACGATATATTACAAAATGCAAATAGAATACCTATTTAACCATTGTTGATTTTGCACGAAAGTCAACGAACACAAAACAAATGACTGACAACAATCGCCAAGCACACTACACAGTGTAGTCTAATCAGCAAAAAATAGATACTATGGACCCCATGAAAATGAAAATGTAAATATAAAATAAATGTCAGTGAATACAATATTTGTTTTTAAAAATACTGCATCACCATGGATCTCCGCCAGTTGTGAACTTTAAATCTCATTTTAATGATTACCGCATAAAGTTACACAGGGGAAATGCCTCATGGAATGGAAATATAATGCTTTCTTTTGTCCAGGTTATATGATAAATTTGTTGATTGTGTATGTATTAAAATATGCAATCATAGTACACATGCAAAGTAAACAAAATTGTGTGAATTTGTATTGGTTGTGGAATTTCCAAGCCAGTTCATAAAATTCTAAATAACGTTTTCTCATTCAGTGTGTATCATTTATGCATATAATTACATATTTCATATACTTTGTATTATCTATGTTAATGTATTAATATTTAAATGCAGATCATTCCAAAAGTAATAAACAATATTTTGCATAATCCCTTTACAATCAGTCTAGTCTACATAGTATGAAAAGACAAGTTTCTGCCACTCACCGCAAAAGCCACTCACCGCGAAAGCTACAAGTGTGGCAAATAAAATATACCGGTATATTACATTTAGCCACATTAGATTTCAGATAGCACATTGGCTAGCCCAGGTTATGGGCAGCACTAACAATGGTTTGGCCATAAATCTTGAAATATTAGAGCAATGCATCATCGCAAACCATGCCCTCTTTCAGCAACTGTTGGTTGCCTCCAACATCACAAACCTCGCCCACTTTCGGCAACTGATGGTTGTCTCTAAGAAAAGTGGGGCGAAAAAAATACTCTGGCGGGCAAGAATGCTTTGAGTGGGGCGGAAAAAAGAAAATGTAGCAATGAAGCTATAAGTACATGATCATTTTTTTAGTGAAGTGACAGGGACGGATAGTTCTACTTAATGTGTCATTGATTTTCTGCAAATTATACATTGTTGAAATTCAACTTTCAGTTTTTATATTTTACATTTTTGTTGACACTACTGTATTATAAGCTTCTGTACTGATTTTGGATTACCGGTACCTACCGTATTATGTTAGTGTGTTTAGGCAATGAATATCCACCACAGATGACGGGCTGTACTTCAGTGTAACTGCATTACTTCTGGGCTAAGAAAGTAACACTGTGGTCAGACCCCTTTCAGCGATAAAGGCAAAAAAAAAAACATATTATAAAAATTCATTTTAAGTTTTTATTCTGTTAACATAATACATTGGAGTGGTACACTCATGTACTTTTTTGTTTGTTGTTTCAAAAGAGATTTTTTGTCTTTGCTGTACTTTATCTTGAAAGGCATCAGTGCTCATATCTTATCAGCTGTGTGTAAAATACAAACAGATATCTTATTAGGAAGTGGCCCAACTCAAAACTATTTACCCTCAGTTCAGTTATGTTTGTTAATCCTGAGTATTAATGAGAATCATTCATGGGGTGTACACTGGGTAAACAAAAACTTGAATATTTGTTTGCACACAAGAAAAAAACAGTTAACTTGTACAAAATTGTTTTTTTCAATAAATTAGTAGCTTCGCGATGAGTGGCTTTCGTGGTGAGTGGCTTTCATACTAACTGGTCCTTTTACCAGAGTTAAGAATTAATGTTGTATGTATATATGGTGCTAATTTGGGAATACCATCTTTGGAACTGTTAATTTGCCCTTATGTATAACTCATTGAGTAATGAAATAAAGAAATGTATACATGTATATATTTTAATTATTAATAAAACTGATTAAAATTGAAGGAAATTATAAAATAAAA